TCTCTTTGGGTTCTGGGGTTGAGTGAAGGCTTTGTTTTTGTTCTTACAGTTTTTCTACTTACAATTTTAGTTTTATCACAAAAATGTGTAGTGGTGGTTTTCTAAGTGGACCTAGAAAATAGTTCTTAGTCCTAAGCAATTTTATTTGAATCTAATTCACCTATTTGAAAGCAAAACAAAGCCACCATGGCTGGTGTGGCTCAGTGGACTGAGTGCTGATCTGGGAACCAAAAGGTTGCCAGTTCAATTCCCAGTCAGGCCACATGCCTGGGGTGCAGGCCAGGACCCCAGTGGGGGGGGGGGCACACAAAAGGCAATCACACTTTGATGTTTCTCTCCCTCTCTTTCCCCCTCACGTCCCCTCTGTATAAGAATAAATAAAACAAAATCTTAAAAAAAAAACAAAGCCAATCAAAAAAAGTTAGCTGGTAAAAGGAATACTGGCTTTTGTTAAAAAATTCCCCAGTTCTAATATACATTGCTTGACAAGGGTTAACATATAATATCTACAACTTGCCTTTATATGCTTCTTAAGGGTCTTACCTTTGGGTAGATTCATTAGTGAGACCAAGTTCAAATTTTTCTGGAAAAGAGAATTCCGCTGCTCAGCAGGTTAGCTGCCTGAAGACTGGCTGCGTTAACTACCCATCCCCAACCTAGCCAAAGAGTCCATAAAAGATGATGGAAGAAGACAAGTCGTAAATTTGATTTCTATTTCCAAAATCACTTCCATTCCGGGCTGACCTCACATTGGCGGTCTGATTTGATTACAAGGTCATTTCCCCACATGTTGTACTCAGCAGTTTGAAAGGTACAATGTGCTGGTTAAAATCTGATCCTTGGGGTATATTTGCTCATTTTATAAGCAGCTCCTCAATTTGACATAATTCAATCCAGTGGGAACCCAACGTACTGAACCTCAGCGCTGTCCCGGCCCTGTTCCCGCGGCCCGACCAGGCCTGGCGCTGCGCTGGGCCGCGTTGTTGGTACGGAGGCTCTTCTCCCCCGACCTCGTTTCAACTCAGACCTTTCGTAACAATCTACAAGGAAGTCTTTGTGCTCAGCATGTGCTCATTTATGAGCTCTACTGCGGGGGAAAGCACTCAACCTAAAGAGTTGATGGGAAAATGTTTTCTTAGCCTCAGAATAGTCATTTTCATAATAATAGCACTACTTCCATTACTGAGAACTTTAAAATCACTTTAAAAGCAACAGATCTCATTGAGTTTCATTCCGGAGCTGAAAAGGACCAGGTAAGCGAGGGATTTTATCTAGAAAATGAAGAGACTGAAGCCCAAAGAGAACAGCTAGACTAGTCCCAATTCACATGGTGATTTGTAACAGAACAGGGATGCAAACCTTAGGTCTTCTGATACCAAACCCAATGCCCTTTCCACTGCCTCCCCCTGCCGTGTTGGCTGAGGGGTTTTTGCATTTCATATTATTAATAATGACCACTAAGATATTGAACCGTATCTGGTGTCTGGTGCTATGTATCACGTTCAACCTTGACAACAGCCTGCTGAAGTAGATCCTCCTCTTATTCCATTTTATAGCTGAGAAAACTGAGTCCCAGAGAGGATAAGTAACAGACCCAGCCTTTTAAATGACCATGAGTAAAAGGCAGAACTGGGATTGAAGTCCAGTTCTTTCTGACCTCAGAACCCAAGCTTTTCACTATTTGGTACCACAAATGGTCTTCTCAGAACCTTCTTTTCTTGGCAAAAGATATAAAGCCTTTTTCTCTCTGAGCCTAGAGTGACAGTTGCTTAAAGACAACATTTAACAAGCCGGGGTGGCTGGTCAAGGGCTCCAGTCTAGGAGAGAGAGAGAGGGTGGGGCCACGTGGCCCGCCGGCCAGATCCAGGCCGGCATAGCACGTCGTAAATAACCTCTTCCACAGGCCTCGCTGCCAGCTCGAAATGGCCTTTGAGTGTACTTGGTTTGTTTTTAAAGAGAGTGTGAGCTAAAGGCTGTCATTTAAAATTGCCCAGAACCCACGTCACAAGAACAGGTGGGCCAAGATTAAAAACAGTATAAGCGAGAGGCTGAGCTTACCAAAGCAAACATTTCGGAGTGATTATTTTGCTTTAGAACAGGGTTACCCTTGAGGCATTTTAAAGCAGTGACCTCCCCTAACTGCAATTAAAATGTAAATTTCTCTGCTCAGATTTGGTTCACACTCATGACTTTTCAGGAAAATGCTTATTTTATTAAGCAATGGATCCATTGCACAGGAGAAGAGCAAATTAAAGGTTTGGTTTTGTCTTATAAATACGTAAGAAGGTCTGCAAAGCCCCATTTCTGTTTGTTTTATAAATGTTGAAGCTGTTATAAAAGCCCCTTTATGAGAAAATTAAAGAAAAATTACCTGGCATTCTTCCCTGAATCTTATTAAAACCCCAAATGAAGAAGAGATAATAAACCCATTGGAGAGCCCATTTATCTGCTGTGGAAAAGCCCTTTATCAGTAGGTGGCGCTCTAAGAATGAGTTTACTGTACTGTGGGCCCTGGCATTCAAGAAAGAAAGCAATATTCCACCCTTCCTTGGGCATCTTCCTAAAGGAAGCAGCTTTGCTCTGCCCCTTTAGAGGGTCAGCCTTTCCCAGCTATCCAGCTCTGCATCTGCTGTTTGAAATAAGGAAGCCCACGTCGTACCCAGCATTTTAGAATCACAGACTGGGAAGGCTAAAAAGGACTTCTTTATGTAAAGGCTTAGCTCGCAGCCTCTGGGTCCTGGAATCACAGGATCTCTAAAGCTTGGAGGATCTGAAATGAAGCTGAGCTCTGAAATGAAGAATCGATCCCCCAAGGTCACCTAGCTGGTCTTAGCTCAGCCAGGACAAGAGCCCTAGTGGGTCTTCTCCACATCCAGTGCTCCCCGGCTTATTGGTGATCACCATGGGGACACGGTGGGGAGTGAAGATAGTACCAGCTGTGAGCACGCTGACAGAGGCCTGCCCTGCTCGGTGGGAGACACAGTGCAGGCAGAGCTCGCTGACCGTGGGTGGGGATGTGAAACACCTGGGATTTTCTTCCTCGACTCTTTATCCTCGTGACTGACCCTCTAGCAGGACTTTCTACAAATGTCAGGTGCTGAATCTTTCTGTCCAACTAACTTTCTCAGGTGTCTTATGTCTGCCGACCCAGCCACCATTTTTGAGTACTTTCACCCTTTTCTGGGCTTGCCTGTATTTGCAGATACAAGCAAATCTCTATGTGTTTGTATTTCTTACTATATGTGAAAAATAAACCCCTACTTGCTTGTCACTATTATTCAGGTTTTCTGCCTTGTGTAACAAATTACAGTCTATAGTATAGCTAATACCCTAAAATCTCTTTCACGTGCCTTCCTAGTATATTACTTTCTCCCACTTTTAAGGCGTTGTTGTTCAATGAGGACAGAAACTTTCATACAGTGCCTGGTATATATCAGATGCTCAATAAATATGTTTGAATAATTAAGTCAATAAATGATTGCTAGTTAAGACTGAAATAAATTTTATCTCCTGTTCATGCTGTACCTGGCTTCATGCTAATTTGCATCTTCTGTGTGTAAGTGAGCAAAGAAGAGGTCAGGAGTTCTGTACTTTGTGGTCAGGTCGGTCCAACATGACATTCAAAAATGTGCTAGGAATCACTCATCAGGCCCAGGAACTGATGAGAGGTAAGCGTGCTTTTTGGGCTTTCTGTTTTCCTTGCAATGTTTCTATCCCTTCTCCTCCCTGTCGTTAGCTACCAGTTTCTGACTTCCTTTTAATTCCAGACTGCCTCTAACATCAATTTATCCTTTTGACTTATGTATCTCATATGTGCTCCTTTCTTCTTCCTGTCTCTTCTTATTTCCCTGGACATGCTGCACGGTTCCTCTCCACTTCTGACAGAGTGATTTCTCTAAGGTACAGAGAACTGTTTGCTGCTCTCTAATGTACCCAGCTTGTGCCGTCCTCGCCACTGATTTCAATTTCCTGGTGTGATTTATCCAGCAATCAGACCATTGCCCAAAATTGGCTTTGCAGAAAAGCTTAATGCATTTGTCTTATCCCTTCAGGGACTGCTCCTGATGGTCATCCAGAGAAGCTCAGGTCTCCACTCTGCTGATCTGCAGGCCACGCCAGCCACATGTTGTGCAATGCCAAATTGAGCTATTCATTCCCAGAGTAACACGCAGTGTGTGGAAGGAGTCACGTGCCTCTGTCCGCAGGAAGGGTTTCTGTGTCTTCCTCCTAACACAGCTGGCTTGTTCTTCGGTGCTGCAGGGGAGGGAACCCTGGGGGCGGCCAGAGCCTAGGCTCCTCTCCTCGAGATGCTGGTCTTGAGCAAGTCATCGATCCCCCTTGGGCCTCAGTTTCCTAACCCCTGGAGAGTTGAACCCAATGAACCCTCATATATCACTCAGCCTTGTAATTTATGATTTTATGAATAAGAAGTGGCAGCACACCTTTTAAAAATCAATATTACAAGGGCAACCTCAATCAAACGTTAGGAAAAGGGCTCAGACTCTTCCCATAAACATTTATTATGAAATTAATCATATTCAGTCTCACAGGTCAAGTTCAGGAAAGTAAACTATAAGATTCAGATAACAGGTAGCATTAGAATCCAGGGTTCAAGGCAAGACTCATGGCAGGCAGCAAGACCAAAGGGATCAAGTCCCACCAAGGATTTGAGTGAGGCAGAGGGGAAAGAGCTTCTAAGAGACGAAATGAGTGTTTTTGTCTTTCCTTGTGCTGCTGACCCTCACTCACTCTGCTCTCCTTCCTCTTGCCCAATAAGTAATGTTTTATATGTTTTTTGTTACATAAAAATATTTTTTCATTTTTTGTAGGAAATTTTTAAAAAATGAGAAAGCATGCATTCTTCCCTTGTTTTTCTCCTATGATCATATTCAGGTACATCCAGCCTTCCTGGGCTATAGCTATCCAATCGGTAGGTAGCTAAAAATGCTGTGGTCCCAGGTCAACAGGTGAGTGAGCACCTGACACTCTCTGCTTCACAGTTTCTAACAGGGCGTGATGCTCGGAGGCGGAATAGGTGTGATATCATCGATACACAACCACAGGACTTACGACAGGACTTATTATCTACATGGACTCCGTCCGAAGTCAGTAAGAGCTATGAGAATGTCATCTGGAACCCAGAAGCTCTGAGGTACAGAGGCTCACTCTAAGCCACTGACATGTAACTCACATGTGTTTCCTTTGCTCTCCGACCCTTCTCAGACCCCCTCCCGGACCCTCTCCCAAAGTGGAGCTCATTAGACCCCACGTGGCCCTTTGAGCTCACGTGCATGGAGTTGCCTCATCATAAAATAGGGATTCCGGGATCCCTTAACTGAAACGAGGCTCTTGTGATGGTTAATTTCATGTGCCATGGTGCCAGATATTTGGTCAAACATCATTCTGGATGTTTCTGGGAAGGTGTTTGTTTGTTTGTTTGTTTGTTTGTTTGAAAAGATTAACATTAAATTGGTGGGCTTTAAGTAAAGCAGATTACTCTCCATAGTGTACGGTGGGCCTCATCTAACCCGTTGAAGGCTTTAATAGAATGAAGGCCAACCTCACTCAGGTGAGAGGAAGTCTGCTATCAGGCAGTCTTCACTCTCGAACTGCTGCTCTTTCTTGAGTCTCTCTGTGTGTATATATGCACATCCTGTTGCTTCTCTTTCTCTCGAGAACCCCGACTGGTACAGATTTGTGCTGCCAGTCTTGCACATGGAAAGCCCCTAGGCAAACAGAAACAGAAACCTACTGACCTCCAAGTGCAGGTCAAGATCACAGAAGATTACCCTGGAGCAGAGTTTCAAGGCTTGGAGCCAGGACCTTAAGCTTAAATGAACAGACTGGCTGAAGAAGCAGAGTTGTTGCCTTATATGGTAGTAGGAGTGCTTGCTAGCTGGTGCCCTGGCCGAGGGTGTAGAAAGCATCGAATCTGTTATTCTGCGCTCCTCTGATCTGGCAGGCACTTCACTCTCCTAAGTTTAGACACAGCTCTCCTCAGAGAGGAGAGGATGGGATCCATTCATTTGTACCCCTGTCCTATCCAAACTCTTTGTGCCACTTCAGGAGTAATTCTCAGGAGAAGGGCTTTTGAACTGAGTCTCAGATGTCATTTTTCCAAAGTCTAGAGCCCAGAGCAAATGTCGTGGTCTGGCCCAGCACATGACGCGCTGCACACGTCAGTCTCACATGAACCTGCTGTTCTCTGTCAGACTCCAGCTGCTCTTGGCCACTTTGCTCCCTTGGTCATGAAAATGCAAACATGTTGCAGTTTCCAGTTTCCCTCTCCTTATTTTACCTGTTTTTCCAACCAGTCTTTGTGTCTCGTACCCACTGCTTTACATGCACAGACTCCGTGTCTTCTTTGCATTCCTGAGTCTGTTCCCTTCTCTACTATGATTGCTTCTTACTTTGATTCATGCTGTTAACTCAACAGAATGAAATAAAAACAGAAAAATCACCTGTCATTCTACTGTTCAGGGCGTTAGTAAACAGGCCAGGGCAACAAGGCGAACAGCAGGGCTCATTTACCGAATTGGAAGCTTGGGGGGTGGAGAGCAAATTTCAAAGATGGACATTGGAGTGTAGGGGAAATTAAGAATTCTATTTTGGACAAATTTGAAATGCCTGCGAGACATCCAAGTGCAGAAATAAAGGGAGCAGTTTGATATAGGAGTCTCTAGAGTGTAGGGGAGAAACCGAAATTGGAGCTTGAACTTAAAAATCCTTAGGATGGAGAACTGTCTGTTCAGGTCCTTTGACCATTTCTTCATTGGATTGTTTGGGGTTTTTTTTGGTGTAAAGTTGTAAAAGTTTTTATAAATTTTAGATGTTAACCCCTCATCAGATGTATCGGCAAATATGTTCACCCATTCGGTCAGTTCCCTTTTGATTTTGTAGATGGTTCTCTTTGCTGTGCAAAACCTTTTTAGTTTGATGTAGTCTCACTTGTTTATTTTTTCTTTTGTTTCCCTTGCTTCAGGAGATACATAAGAAAAAATATTTCTATGAGCAATGTGCAAGATTTTACTGCCTATGTTTTCTTCTAGGATCTTTATGGTCTAATGGTTTCAGGTCTAATAGGTTCAGGTTTAAGTCTTGACTCCATTTGTATTTATTCTTGTGTGCAGTATAAAAGAAGGTGGTCTGGGTTCATTTTTCTGTACATATCTGTCCAATTTTCCCAGCATCATTTATTGAATAAACTTTAGCCCATTGTATATGCTTCCTTCTTCTGCCAAATATTAATTGACTATAAAGATGTGGGTTTATTTCTGGGCTCTCTATTCTGTTCCATTGATTAATGTATCTGTTTTTATGCCAGTACCATGCTGTTTTGATTAGTACAGCCTTCTAGTGTAGTTTGGTATCAGGTAGCATGATTCCTCCAACTTCGTTCTTCTTTCTCAAGATTGCTATTGCTATTTGAGGTCTTTTGTGGTTCCATACAAATTTTTTAAATATTTGGTCTAGAGGACAAACAGATGGCCAATAGGCACAATAAAAGATGCTCAATGTCACTATCATCAGAGAAATGCAAATTAAAATCACAATAAAATAACCTCATACCAATCAGAATGGCTTTCATCAATAAATCAATAAACGAGTGCTGATGAGGATGTGGAAAATGGGGAGCCCTTTTGCACTGTTGGTGGGAATGCAGACTGCTGCAGCTACTGTGGAAAGCACTATGGAGACACCTCAAAAAGTGGAACTGTCTTATGATCCAGTGATTCCACTTCTGGGAATTTATCCAAAGAAACCTGAAACACTAATTCAGAAGAACATAAGCAACCCTATGTTCACTGCAGCGTTATTTATAATCGCCAATATAGGGAAACATACCAACTATCTATTAGGAGATGAATGGATAAAACAACTATGGGACATTCCTGCAATAGAATACTACTTAGCTGAAAAAAAAAGAAAATTTCGACTTGCAACAGCATGGGTGTACCTGAAGAACATTATGCTAAGTGAAATAAGACAGCTAGAGAAAGACAAATACCATATAATTTCACTCATATGTGGAATCTAGTAAACACACTGAACTAACAAGCAAAACAGAGACAGACTCATAGATAGAGAGCAAGCTGACAGCTTTTGGGGGTGGCTTAGGGGGTGGAGGGATCAAACAAAAAGGAAGAGGGACTCATGGTCATGGACAATAGTGTGGTGATTGCCATGGGGTCACGTGTATAAGGGGGATAAATAGTAATGAAAAAATATAATAAACTTGCTGTTTCATTTTCTACAAAAAAATCATTAGGATGTAGATAAAATTTAAAGCCATGGGCAAGATGAGGTCAACAAGTGAGTATAAAAAGTAAAGAATAAAGACCTGAGGACTGAGTTCTGGGCACTACAATGTCTAGAAGTGGGGAGAATAAGGAGGAACCAGCAAATAAATAAAAGACGAAGAAAGAGTGAACAGGGGGGTACAGTGAGAAAGAGTTGCCAAGTGAAGGGAAAATTTCAAGGAGATGTAAGCCATTAAGCCATTAACTATGTCAAATACTGTTGAGAAGGTCTTGCAAGGTGACTGAGAATTAGCCAACAGGACAGACATTGGTGACTTTGACAAGAATGATTCTAGTGGAACAGATCCTGATTAAAGGGCCTTTCAGAGAGAATGGAAAGAGAGACTGCCAACTTAGATACGTCCTTCTAGAAATTTTGTAGAAAAGGCAAGAAAAAGATGGGGTGTGGGAAGGAGGACACACCCTGCCCAGGGAGGACATCTTTTTAAGTGGAAGGTATTACACAGCGTGTCTGGATGTGGGTGGCGACAGTCATAATACTGGAATTCGTTCTAGCTGCACCATAGTTTATTTCACCAGCCCTGCGTTAGAACACATTTTATGTTTCAAACTTTTGCTATTATAACTAACACTGCAATAGACATTTGTGCTAGCACCATTTCAGGTCACTTCTCCTTTTCCCGAGGTGCTCAGGTCACTTCTCCTTTTTCCAAGGTGTCAGCATGACCCAGGGGCCTCTTCTGTTTCTGAGCACCTCCAGCCCCACCCCCAACCTCCTGACATGTGAGCATTATTCCCAGACGACCCACTGCGGCCACCCAATTCCTCAGGAGTGAAAAATGAACCTCGGTTCCAAAAGAGGAGGAGGGGAAATGAAGTTTCATCTCTAAAATTTCCTCAAGTCTGAGGTGCATGGGACCCGTCTTTGCGGAATACCCTCCTTCCTCTCACCACTCAGCTGCCCGGACTGGGGTCCTACGGCAACACCCCCCCAATGTGTTTTGATTCCTCATTGTATTGGATAAGTCGTGTGACCTCTGTGCTACCAAATCTGTAAAATAAGAAAATGGGTATCACTGTCCCTTGGGTCCCTTTAATGCCTGTGTGGATTCGCTAGTGCTTGCTTCTCACAGTGAATAGAGCTTTGGGTAATCGAGTGGTACTTCATGATGTGTCTATTTTCTGCAGTGGGTTAAAAATCAAGGGGCCTTGAAATAGTTTTAGAAAAATAAATGTCTCTCCTCAATATTCATTAGTTCTGGGGCGAGACAAGCTTGGGTTCACTCAGTTTCTCGCAACATCGACCATGGGAAAATTCCTTAACCTCTCTTTGCCTCAGTTTCCTCATCTATAAAGTGGGAGCCTGAGTTTTTCCTCTTGAGGTTGTTAAAGTTCTTTGATAAAAAATGCTTGGCACATAATAAATGCTTGATATAGGTTGGCTATTATTATTATTAAAAATTATAGTCAGAGCTAAGTCTCTGGCATGAGAATAGACCTTGGTTCAAAGGTCTCCTGTTTATTTTAACCTCTCTGTGCCTCAGTTGCTTCACCCATAAAATGGGTGTAATAACAATACCACCTAACCTACAGGGATATTGTAAGGATTAAATGAAATAATATAAGTAAAGTGCATGGTGCAGAATGAGTGCTCTGTAAACATTAGTTATTTTATTACTGGTCCTCCACCTAGGCCCACCCTAAGGCAAACTCATGCAGCAGGTGAAATGCCATCTGAGCCCTAGTGCCTGCCTGCCTGCCCAGCTCTGCCACGAGTTCCTCTCCCTTCGAAACCCTCTCCCCTAGGTATTTATCCATGTCACGTTCCTTTCCCGCCTCTGATCAAAACTCAGGACAAGCTCAGAGAATAAATTTTACTGTATCT